TACTAAAATGCAGCTAGCAGCGAGGAAATAATCAGAATAATTCACTTAGGGTTCCTAAAGGTGTGCCCATCCGAAATATGTTAGGAGATAACATTTAATTAAAAGATTATTGATGTAAACGGTGTAGGATACGCAACCAATCGTCTTACTCAGTAACCAGGTTCACATGGAGGGTCATTGTTATATTCGGCTGAACAAACTTGAAATTCTCCACGTCCATCTCTAGTGAATATCCCGTCCTACCGACATACGGTTATTCCCCTCCTCCGAAAGCTGTCTCCTTCCTCTGAGCCACGTGCCCGTGAATTCCTTCATCCAATAATTCTGGCTGCCCTCTCCCTTGACCCTTTCCATTCGAATGCACACGCGTGTCCAAAAACAACCCCCAGCAAAGAGGCACTTGAATATGTCACTCCCCCCTCTCGAGCGTCCACAGGAAAGCGGATTAAAGCTAGCAGCTGTCGTGTCTAGTTGACCTAACCATTCAGTTCAGTCTTCCCTTCCCGTGCAAGATAGCCGCAACTGCTCCAACCGCCACTTGAACGGAGCCACCCCCTCCTTTGCTGACATATTATGGGCCGTTGTACACAACCCTCCCCCTTTCGCGCTGTTGTTTCACACCAATCAGATGCCACATGAACTGACTCCTAAAGTCACATAAAGGCAGCGGTTGTCCCCCTTAGCAGCACACCCGCTCTTCCAAGTCTGGCATCCCCATGCACCTGTACTGCATTTTTGAACATGCGTTGTTCCCTTGTCTCGAGTCGGGCAACTTGGTCGGCTCTCTTGTTCTGAATTGTGTGTATCCATTGAGGTTTGTACTTCGTTTATCGTTTAATAGTTATTTAATAGCAACGTACCACATTGAAAAATGTGGTTTTTGGTGTTTGACGTACGCGTTAATGCTGGATACAGAGTCGGAGTCAAAAAAAGAAACAAACATACTCCAAAATATAGTTTTAAATAGTTCAAGTAAAGAAGGTAATAACTAGGTCGCTCTATCGGTATTGCTTATTTATCCCGCATTTACGACAAAATGACTCGCATATGGTTGTTTAGTTATTTAAAATAAGGGTTACTTTTACAGAAATTAGCAGCACCGGTTTAACGAATCAGTAAATTCTTTGCGTAAATTTGGCGCTGGAAGAACATGAACTTGCCTTCGCGAATAGGTTCTCAACGGCAACTGTCGCATCTGGCGAGATAATCAGGACGATCTCACCGGTACCCCCCCCTTCTGAAACCGTTTGGTGATCAGCGAACGCGCAGCGCACCAGTTCTATCACACAGGCCTGCTTAGCGTCACACTGTAGCAGGCGACTCAAACAGGTCTGCAGGTTATCCGGCGTTAGAATGACCAACTCCCGACTGGCCTTGCGTTTTGACAGCGGAGTCGTGCTGGGGTTGCGTGGGAGCTGGGCTTTTTCATCATCTGGAACTGTGGAGGCGATGGCTATGGCATGAGCCAACTGTTTCAGCTTATTGCAGGCTCGCCGAATTAGGGAGTCCAGATACCAATGGTAGGCCTCATCCATCTTTCAGAAAACAAATTTGTGTTAATGTGAGAGATGTGAACCTGATATTTTTCTTCAAAATTAAAGACCGATAAAATTTATATTAGTGTATGACGAGACATGGACAAAATAATCCCACCCCGCCTATTTGAAAGAATCGCGTTAATTTCCAGGGAGATTTACCTAAGTAAAGAAGATGAAGGCTCGATAATAGGGAATGAATGAATGACTGGCCAAACTTATTGGCATTGGATTAATATATGTTTTTCTCGTTCGCTGCTGGTATAGATATTTGTTTAGCTTAATAGTCTACTGGTGTTTTGCTTCGTCACCCCGATGGGGGATTTTGGGAAGTCTGCTTCCTCTTCCAGTGGGTTTTTCGCGGCAAGAACTAAACCCTGTTCCGGTGAGCAAATTAAAGTTCTTAGATTTCCACCTCTGCGAATCTGAAATAAATCAGTTTGAACTGAAGCCTCTAGCGGCAAAAACTGAAACTTGATATGATTGTTTGGCTGAAGTCCAGCAACTACAGCGGAACAACGAAGTAGTATTAATTAAACTCCAAACACCCAAAGTGTAGTTCCTTAAATGATAAATAAGTTTTATTGATTAACTGATGAATTATGAATTTTATGCCGTTGTACACCGGCCATAACTACCCACCTTGAGCACGACGAGAGGTTTTCTCAAAAACATTAATAATACGAAAGAAAACTGGACATTCTTTAACACCGAATGTTAGTACACAAGCACAAGACACGTCTCTGTTTAAATAATGCATTCTGCTACTTCGTAGGAATTGATAAAGGCTGCAAAATATACTTCTTATCGATTTATCCTCACTTGCATCCGGCCAAGGTAGACTCTCAGTTTGCTGTAAAAGTTCACTCGATACTGTCGCGCATCCTCAGGGAGGCATGTCTACCGACGAGGAATGATGACCTAACAAAGATTCCAGCCATTTTTAGACGTGGATCACGTGTATGTTGGTTCTGCTGAGAACGATATTAGTTGATCATTCCCTATCAACTTAAAACTCATTGTTACTTCAATGTATGAGTAGGAGGTTTTTCGAAGCAGGATATTTTACGTCGAAATGAAACACAAACGCGAATCTGCAGAAGCTAGAAAAACTCCCTGAAAAACATCCCCAAAACTGTTAACATCACTGCTGTCACATATACTATGCTAGCTGTTTCAGAGATCAGATAAACAGAAATTACCTGATTATCGATAATCTTCCGAAGCTGGACTAATTCCTCACATTCGCTGTAGTAATTCGCGCTGTTGTACAGTGCGTACGCCCACTCCTTACGAAGGGCAGGCAGGCCAAAGTTGGCTTGAAAATAGTTGGCAAGAAATGCATCGAAGGACAGTAGCGATGGTCGCTCCGATTCATCAGTGCTTGCACATTTGTCCTGAAATTCAAAATCGTGTCGTCTTTTTCGAAAATCTTTTTTTAAAGTAGGTCATTTGAAGGGATATGCAAAACTTCCGCAAGATGCCGAGTTCGTACTAGCCACCTTCGGGAGCTCCGGTTGGGAACTTTGATTCCTTCAATCTACCAAGTTACTCGCTAAAATCCTGGGAGGTATTCTCACCCGCAAAAAGTAAACTGTATGACATGATACTAGTGTTTGCAACTTGGCAGAACTCCTTGAGTCATTGCTTTTACTTAAAACCGGAAGGCGTACTTTTTAGGTCCCATGTACACTGAATTACAACATCGCGCTAGGCTTTAGTTCCAATTAGATTCTTCTTAACGAGCGTGTCGATATGATTAGCTTTTATACACTTATATAAAAACAGCCTATGACCTATAAAGAAGTGACGTAAATTATTCATTTTACATGTTTCGTAGAAAAATGCACCCTTCAGATATCCAAGCTTGAACAGAGAGGATATTTCAGGTGTAAAGCTATAACGGAAGTATTTTTGAAGATATTCGCTAAACTGTGCATAAAATTTAATACACCCACATTCCCTAGGCATGAATAAAAAGCGTTCATTTTTTCCATATATGCCCGACTATTCTATGGGTGTCCAGGCGGTCCCCACAAAGTATATGAAGAAAATTACAAACCAAATCTCCGAGAAAATCTACAAGTTGCGTCACACTAAGAAGGAAATTTAAAACACCGATCTTATTCCAATAAATATAAGTATATCTGCAGAATGACAACCGCAAAAGATAAAAGACACCAGTATGACCATTTCTGGCGTGTCAGTCGTTGTTAGCCAGTCATTCCCCATCCCCAACTTTTGACAAAAAATAGA